GGTTCGATTCCTCAGCACCACATAAGCAAAAAGAAAAAAGCCGGAAATGGCGCTGTGGCTCAAGTGGTAGAGCTCTAGCCTTGAGCTGAAGAGCTGAGGGACAGCGCCCAGGCCCAGAGTTCAGGCCCCACGACTGGATCCAAAGGAAAAAAAAAAAAAAGTTTCACAGACTTTCCTGCCTGGGCTGGCTTTGAACCGTGCTCCTCAGATCTCAGCCTCCTGAGTAGCTAGGATTACAGGCATGAGCCACCGATACCCAGCTCTGGCTTTATTGTTTGAAGTGTTTCCTTTAAAGAAAGTGAGAAATACAGAGTCTAGAGGGAAGGAACAGACAGGAGGGGGAAAATGACAGAAGGGGTGACTCTGATCAGGAAGTACTGGACATTTAGATGGACATGTTAAATTGTTCCTTTGTATAATCTTTTGCAATTCAGAAAATAAAACATGAACCTAAGTGTGGTGGCATGTACCTTGATATTCCAGCTACCTAGGAAGCATAGATAGGTATGAGGACTGAAGTACGAGCAGACTCAGCCAAAAAGCAAGACACAATTTTCACCTGCCTACCAAGTACAAGGCCCTGAGTTCAAATCCCAATACTGAGGGAAAAAATTCTTTGGCTAAGATCCAATAAAAACAGAAATTCCAGGCTGGGAATGTGGCTTAGTGGTAGAGCGCTTGCCTAGCATGCATGAAACCCTGGGTTGGATTCCTCAGTACCACAAAAACAGAAAAAGCCAGAAGTGGTACTGTGGTTCAAGTGGTAAAGTGCTAGCCTTGAGCAGAGAGGCTCAGAAGCAGAGCCCAGACCCTGAATTTAAGCCCCAGGACTGGCCAAAAAAACAAAAACACCCAGAAATTCCACAGGGTATGGTGGCTCATGACTGTAATCCTAGCTACTCAGGAGGCTAAGATCTGAATATCAGGGTTCAAAGCCAGCCTGGGCAGGAAAGTTCATGAGAGTTTTATCTACAATTAACCAGAAGAAAACCAAAACTCATACTATGACTCAAAGTGGTAGAACACTAGCTTTGAGCAAAAAAAGCTCAGTACCTAGGCCCTGAGTTCAAGCCCCAGGACAAAAAAAAAAAAAAGGAAGGAAGGAAGAAAGGGAGGGAGAGAGGGAAGGAGGGAGGGAAAGGAAAAAAAGAAGAGGTCATTATGTGGAAAATGAACTACACAATTTGTAGGCAGGAATGGGAGGGGGAAACTGGGGGAAAGCAATGGAAGGGGTGATACTGTCCAAAAAAACCCAAAAATGTACTCAATTACCTGACTTACGAAACGTAATCCCTATGATACAACATCCTAATAATAATTATATATATGGGGCTGGGAAGGTGGCTCAGTGATAAGAGTGCTTGCCTTGCATGCATGAGGCCCTGGGTTTGATTCCTCAGCACCACATAAGCAGAAAAAGCCAGAAGTGGTGCTGTGGCTCAAGTGGTAAGAGCACTAGCCTTGAGCTGAAGAGCTGAGCGACACTGCCCAAGCCCAGAGTTCAGGCCCCCACAACCAGCAAAATAATAATAATAATAATAATATGTATGTATGTATATACATTAACCCTCTTAGGTCGTGGGGCTAGAACTCTGGACCTAAGCACTGTCCCTGAGCTCTTCAGCTCAAGGGAAGTATTCTACCACTTAAGCCACAGCGCCAATTCCAGTTTTCTGGTGGTTAATTGGAGTTAAGAGTCTCACGGGCTTTCCTGTCCAGGCTGGCTTTGAACTGCAATCCTCAGATCTCAGCCTCCTGAGTAGCTAGTATTACAGGCATGAGCCACAGGCATCTGGCTCTATATTTTTTTAATGAAGTCATGCTTAACACTGATGGCTCATGTCTATAATTCTAACTACTCAGAAGGCTAGAGGTTCACTATTTGAAGCCAGCTGGGCAGGAAAGCTCATGAGACTCAGAGTTAACCACCAAAAAGCTAGAAAATGAGCTGTGACTCAAGAGGCAGAGTGCCAGCCTTGAGTGGAAAACTGAAGTACTCAGGCCCTGATGTCATGCTCCAGTACCAGCAAATAAATAATAAAACACTAAAAGTAAAACAAGTCTACTATAAAGTCTACAGTGACCTACAATAGTGTCCTAGGTCTTTACTATTTAACAACTCACAAAAGAACTGCCATTCCTGCAAGCTCCATGCATATGAGCCCCACACAAGTGTATGGGTTTTTTTTGTTCTTTTTCTCTCACTTTCATGATAGTACTGGGCCTTGAACTCTTTTTTTTTTTTTTTGGGTCCGATCGTGGGGCCTGAACTCTGGGCCTGGGCACTGTCCCTCAGCTCTTCAGCTCAAGGCTAGTGCTCTACCACTTGAGTCACAGCGCCACTTCCGGTTTTTTTTTTTCTTTTTGCTTATGTGGTACTGAGAAATCAAACCCAGGGCCTCAGGCATGCAAGGCAAGTGCTCTACCACTAAGCCACCTTCCCAGCCCTGAACTCTTTCTTTCTTCACTTGGTTCTCTTGCAGTCATTCAGTATCACACTTAGTCCTCTCAGTATACTAAGTATGCTTCCCTTTTCAGTCTCAGACATGATCATACTTTTTTGCTAAAAATTGAAGGCATGTGTCAACTCTATTCAGTCTTTTTCACTTCTTGACTGCCCTAAATTTTAGGATGCCAAGCTTTCAGATTGTCTGTCACCAGATATACCTTCAGCCAAGCATGGTAGTGCGTTATCCATAATCACAGCTACTTCAATGGCTGAGGCAGGATGATGATACAACTGAGGCCAGGCTGAGAAATTTAGTGATATTCTGTCTCAATATTTATAAACAGTGGGGCTGGGAAGGTGGCTCAGTGGTAGGGTCCGTGATGGGCCTGAACTCTGGGCCTGGGCGCTGTCCCTCAGCTCTTCAGCTCAAGGCTAGCGCTCTACCACTTGAGCCACAGTGCCACTTCTGGCTTTTTTTTTCCGTTTTGCTTATGTGGTGCTGAGGAATCGAACCCAGGGTCTCAGACATGCAAGGCAAGTGCTCTACCACTGAGCCACCTCTCCAGCCCCCCCCCAAAAATTTTTATAAACAGTGTATGGATGGTGTGGAGGCTGGGGATGTAACAGTGTTGAGTGCTTATTAAGCTTGTGTTAGGACTGTATTTCAATCCCTTGCAACACCAAAAATAATTTATGTGTCTGTATATATACATAAATATTGCAATGTATAAGTAAATATTAGTGCAGAGGGTATAATTCAATAGTAGAGCTTGTGCCTAGAATGTATTAAGCCCTACATTCAAACCTCAGTAGTGTGTGTGCACAGTCAACACACATACATATACACAAGTGATGACTCAGCATACTAAAATACTAAAAAGACTGAAAGAGCTGAGTGACCTCCTCCTAAAAAAATGTTTGCTTTGCCTTTTCCAACTTGAACCCACGTTGTCCAAGGTCACCTGAATGACTAAGTCTATTTCCTAAAAAGCTAAAACCTGGACAGGTAGTTACTCTAATTAGTAAAACAGGACATACCAAGTAATTAGAGAACAATAATCCCTTCAACACTGAATCTTAAGTCTTTAAAGGCATAAAGCTGGGTAGAAAATTGCCATCTGTAATTCCAGGCTGAGAATCCACACATTTATTTGGTACTATCATCTGAATAGTCCTGAAAATCCTTATGTTGAAATCTAACCTCCATTGTAGATATTAAGAGGTAAAGCCTCTTGGGAAATGTATAAGACTTGAGGGCTTTGTCCTCATAAATACATTAGTGCTAGAAGTGGCGCTGTGGCTCAAGGGTTACAGAGCTAGCCTTGAGCTGAAGAGCCAAGGCCCAGAGTTCAAGCCCCACGATTAGAAAAAAAAAGGTCAAGAACATAATCAATTGCAATAGTATACCCCTAGCCGGGCGCTGGTGGCTCACGCCTGTAATCCTAGCTACTCAGGAGGCTGAGATCTGAGAATCGCGGTTCAAAGCCAGCCCGGGCAGGAGAGACCATGAGACTCTTATCTCCAATAAACCACCAGAAAACCGGAAGTGGCGCTGTAGCTCAAGTGGTAGAGCGCTCGCCTTGAGCTGAAGAGCTGAGGGACAGCGCCCAGGCCCAGAGTTCAAGCCCCACGACCGACAAAAAAAAAAAAAATACATTAGTGCTGTATGAAAGACCTAGAAGGAGCTAGGTTAGGTTTTTTATGTCATTCTCTCGTGTGAAGATACTGTTCCTCTCCTCTAGAGGATGCAGCAACAAGGTGCCATATTATGTTATAGCGGCCCTCATTAGATATCAAATTTGCTGACATCTTTACCTTTGACTTACTAACATCCAGAAGAGAAATGTCTATTGTTTATAACTTATCCAGTCTTAGGTATTTTGTTATAACAGCACAAATGGACTAAGACTTGGCTTCTTAGCCCTAAACTACACAATAATAATACCTAATACCTTCATTCATCCTTAGTCTGAGCTTATGTCTACTTCTCTGTCAAGTCCCATAAATCAAAACTCATGTGAGGGCAGGAGAGAATAAACAGGGCTCCAAACTGTAATAATCTGTACTAATCTGGCTTTGCTACTTGTGGCCCTAACAAGGCTCTCGATTTAAAAACAAAACAAAAAAACAACCATGGAATACAACATGCCCACACCAGGTAAGTCCCTGGGGACAGGACAGTCTCAATCTCTATCAGTTTTTCCTACTCTATTCAGATCAGCAACTCATACACAAAGGCTCTTAGTCCTCTGGACTCCTCACTAAGGACTAATAGGCATTGTCATTTACTTCAATCTACAGGAAAATAAAGTATAGGATATTAACATTATTTACCTTATGAATGTGGCTAAGATGGGGGTTTCTGGGATTCGGTCAGTCTTCTCCTACACTCCATGCTGCCTCAAGAGGGCAACTGTGTGGCTCCCCAAATACAAACAAGGCCTTTAGGTCTTGGCCAAAGGCTGAGAAAGAGTTGAAGCCACGCACACATAGCTCCATATTCAGGACTAAAACAGGACTTACTACACACCCCCAGCCCCTCCCTACTCACAAGGACAGCAGCAAGGAAAAGCCAGCAATGTAGAGATTTCTCTGGGCACGAAAAAGTTTCATGTGGAAATGTTCCATGGCCCCAGGATTGTTCTGCAGGTTCACCTTTTCAGTAACATCATCATACTTCCGAATCTCCCGTACAGCATCTATGGCAGATCAAAGGAGACCAGGACAGTTAGCTGCCTCTTGGGTAAGTGAAACAAGTAGCATGAAATGGTTGTGCATCACTAACTTCAAATTCAACTTCCTGTAGAATTCTACATGAAGTAGGAGACTATCAAAAAGCTTCAGTCATCAGATCTTCCCCTTTAGCTTTTCATACATTAATCCCGGTCTTATTCTACTCAGACCACAAGCTTACTCTATACTTCAAGATGTTAACCAAGGCTAACATATTGCTGGCAATGAGAACCACTTCCCTTTCCCAATTTCTCAAATTTTCAATTTGAGCTTGTTGTTTCTTCTCAAGTCAGGCCACTAGCTAATCTACTGATATGCCAGAGTTCCTGTTTGAAGAACATTCACAGGCCTGCTTAGGAGGCATGAGCTACCTGGGTGTCAAGTTTCTGCTCTTAAACTTTACAAATTTGATTAAAAAATGAATTCATAGGAATCAGGAAGGTGGCTCAGTGGTAGAATGCTTGCCTTGCATGCATGAGGCCCTGGGTTTAATTCCTCAGCACCACATAAGCAGAAAAAGCCAGAAGTGGCACTGTGGCAAGTTGAGGGACAGTGCCCAGGCCCAGAGTTCAGGCCCTATGACCGAATTTTTAAAAAATGAATTCATAGCCAGGTGCCAGAGGCTCATGCCTGTACTTAGGAGGCTGAGATCTAAAGATCACAGTTCAAAACAGTTTGAGCAGACAAATCTAAAAGACTCTTATCTCCCCAATTAACCACCAAAAAGCCAGAAGTAGCTGTGGCTGTAGTAGAGTACTAGTCTTGAGCAGAAAAGTTCAGTGACAGTCCCAGGCCTTGAGTTCAAGCCTCCAAGACCAGCACACACACAAAAATTCAGGCTCATTTAAAGTTCAAACAGAAGTTTCTTTTTTGCCAGTCCTGGGGCTTGAACTCAGGGCCTGAGCATTGTCCCTAAGCTTAGCACTCTACCACTTGAGCCACAGTGCCACTTCCAGCTTTTCCCCCATATGTGGTACTAAGGAATCGAACCCAGGGCTTCTTGCATGCTTGGCAAGCACTCTACCAATAACCACATTCCCAGCCCTCAAACAGAAAAATTTTTAAAAGTTAGGTCAGGTGTCAATGGTTTTGCTTGCAATCCTAGCTACTCAAGAGGCTGAGATCTGGGGATCGCAGTACAAAGCCAGCCTGAGCAAAAAAGTTGGTGAAACGCTTATCTCCAATTAACCACAAAAAGCTTGAAGCTTGAAGTGAAACTGTGGCTCAAGAGGTTGAGCACTAGCCTTGAGCACAAAGCTCAAGGACAACACCTAAGGCCCTGAGTTCAAACCTCAGAACAGGCACCAAAAAAAAGGGCTGGGAAGTTGGCTCAGTGGTAGAGCACTTGCCTTTCATGCCTGAGGCCCTGGGTTTGATTCCTCAGCACCACATAAGCAAAAAGAAAAAAAAAAAACGGAAGTGGCGCTGTGACTCAAGTGGTAGAGCACTAGCCTTGAGCTGAAGAGCTGAGGGACAGTGCCCAGGCCCAGAGTTCAGGCCCCACGATCGGACCCAAAAAAAAAAAAAAAAAAAACCAGGCACAAAAAAAAGCGAAGGGATGGGAGCTGGGAATGTGGCTTAGTGGTAGAGTGCTTGCTTAGCATACATGAAGCCCTGGGTTCGATTCCTCAGTACCACATAAACATAAAAAAGTAGCAGGTTCGATTCCTCAGTACCACATAAACAGAAAAAAGTAGCACTGTGGCTCAAGTGGTGACTTAAGTGGTAGAGTGCCAGCCTTGAGCTGAAGAGCTGAGTAACAGTGCCCAAACCCAAAGTTCAAGCCCTACGATCAAAAAAAAAAAAACAAAACTAAATGATAGTGCTCAGGACCTGAGTTTAAGCCCCACTACTGGCATACAGAGAAGGTCAAACATAGCTAGGCATCGTGACTAATACCTGTAATACTAACGATTCTATGGATAAAAATTTTGTACACTAATCCCTTCCCCTCAACTAATAAAAAAGTTCATTTCAGTGTCTGTCATACCATAGGAAGAATAGGAAGATCACAATCAGGCAAGATTGGGCATGAGACTTCATTTTTTTAAAAAAAAGTAGCAGCTAGATGCCGGTGGCTCATGCTACTCAGGAGGATGAGATCCTCAGATCAAGGTTCAAAGCCAGCCCAGGCAGAAAAGTCCATGAGACTCTCTCTCCAATTAACCATCAAAAAAGAAAGCCAGAAGTAGAGCTGTGGCTCCAAAAGATCAAGGACAGAGCCCAAGTCTTCTGTTCAAGGTCCAGGACCAGCACGAAACAAAAAACAAAAACAAAAGCAAAAAGGGATGAGTCCATGGTTCAAATAGTAAGCAACTGCCTGGCAAGTGCAAGGTGTAGAGTTCAAATCCAGTACTACCAAAATAAAAAGTGTACAAATACAAATACTGCAGAAAATCCAGAAAAGTTAAATATGATAACATAATCACGCCCAGCAGAGTATATGATAAAAATGTGACCACCTGAGCCAAAGACACCAACAGTCACATCACCTTACATTACCTACTTTATTATACCCACTGTGTGTGTGTATGTTGTGTGTGAGCCACCAATGCCCAGTATTTTTATGCCACTAATGGAGCTTGAACTCAGGGCCTCATGCTTCTTAGCCTTTTTTGCACAAGGCTGGTGCTCTACCGGTTAAGCTACCTCAACTTATTTTTTTTGGTTGGTCAGGGCCTACACCAGTCCTTGAGTTCTTTGCTCAAGGATAGTACTCTCCCACTTTGAGACACAGTGCCACTTCCAGTTTTCTGGTGGTCTATTGAAGGTAAGAGTCTCAGGGGGCTGGGAATATGGTTTAGTGGTAGAGTACTTGCCTAGCATGCATGAAGACCTGAGTTCAGTTCCTCAGTACCACATAAACAGAAAAAGGCAGAAGTGGTGTTATGGCTCAAGTAGTATAGTGCTAGCCTTGAGCAAAAGAAACTCAGGGACAGTGCCCAGGCCCTGAGTTCAGGCCCAAGGATGGCAAAAAATAAAGTCTCAGAGATGTCTCTGCAGACTGGCTTTTATCCATAATCCTCAGATCTGTCTCCTGAGTAGCTAGGATTATAGGCATGAGCCACTAGTGTCCAGCTCATTTGCTTCTTTTTTTTTTTTTTGGGTCCGGTTGTGGGGCCTGAACTCGGCCTGGGCACTGTCCCTCAGCTCTTCAGCTCAAGGCTAACGCTCTACCACTTGAGCCACAGCGCCACTTCCGGCTTTTTGCTTATGTGGTGCTGAGGAATCGAACCCAGGGCCTCATGCATGCAAGGCAAGTGCTCTATCACTGAGCCACCTTCCCAGCCCTTGCTTCTTTTTAAGAGGAACAGAAAAAAAGAAAAGAGAGTAGCCCTGTTTCAAGACTGCAAGAGAAGAAACTACACTACCATGTGCATGACTGGTGAACAACACTATTTGCACCAGGGTCATGAACCAGTCAGCTGCTCTTAAATTCAATTCTACAATGGCTCAGAAATATTAAGTGGTCACAATTAAGGATGAATAAAGGCCACTTGGTATAAGCCCATATCTATTAATATGAGGTGCCTCTAAAGTGAAAGCCCTACTAAGCAGTCAGCAGCATATCCTTCATGGATGAATAGAGCCTCTTCTCCAAGAAAAATAACCAGGGCATTTAACTGGTCTCTCTTTTTTTGTCAGTAGTGGGGCTTGAACTCTGGGTCTGGACACTGTCCCTGAGCTCTTCAGCTCAAGGGGAGTGCTCTACCACTTGAGCCAATGCCACTTCCAGTTTTCTGGTGTTTAATTGGAGATAAGACTCTCACAGACTTTCCTTCCCAGGCTGGCTTTGAACTGCAATCCTCAGATCACAGCTTCCTGAGTAGCTAGGATTACAGGCTTGAGCTACCTGCGCTTGGCTGGTCTATCTCTTGAGAATCCAAAGCTGTTCTCTATATATCCAAAGTGGCACAGAATTTATAACAGAAGCCACAACATAAGGCCTAAGTCAGGTAGCCACACCAATCCCAAATTCTCACCAATAACCAGCAGCACAAGGATGACGATGAGAACCACAAAGAAGGTGTTGCCATAGGTCACTACTAACTCCACAAGGCGGGACTTGAAAATCTTCTGCCATCTGTGAAAAGATAAAATCATGGTGGCTGAAGAAAAATTAAGCACACCTAGGATCTAGGCCCTAAGCAGAATAGAAAGCCATAGTGGCACTCTTCTCCAGTGGCCAAAGGGCCTGTACAAAGTCAACCTCAGCTGCTTATATTCTCCACTTATGTTCCAAAAGAGTGCTTAATAAAAAGATGCTCATTCGTGTACAGAAACATCTAGAGATCAAGTCTTAAAACACTGGCTGTTTCTAGTGAGGGAAACTTACTTTTCATTTTACTCCCCTTACAATATTCAGACTGTTTGCCAAATATATCCAGTATTTCGGTGGGGGGGAAGGGGTTGCCAGTCCTGGGCTTGAACTCAGGGCCTGGGCGCTGTCCCTGAACTTCTTTTTGCTCTAGGCTAGCACTCTACCACTTGAGCCATAGCACCACTTCTGGCTTTTTCTGTTTAAAATACAACCCAGGGCATGCATGCTAGACAAGCACTCTACCACTAAGCCACATTCTCAGCTCCTATATCCAGTATTTCTTAATCTTTCTACATGACAAAAATGGTTTGTCTATACCTCCACTATCTTGGATTATTATAAAAAGGACACCATACTTTACATCTATAAATATTCAGGATGTGCCTCTAATGAACATCCTTCAGAAGTATCGAGTAAAAATGCTCAGGGAGGGCTGGGAATGTGGCTTAGTGGTAAAGTCCTTGCCTAGCATGCATGAAGCCCTGGGTTAGATTCCCAGAAAAGGCTGGAAGAGGTGCGGTGGCTCAGGTGGTAGAGTGTTAGCCTAGAGCAAAAAGAAGTTCAGGGACAGCGCCCAGGCCCTGAGTTCAAGCCGCAGGACAGACAAAAATAAAATGTTCAAGGACCACACTGAAGCTCTGAGTTCAAGCCCCACAACCAACAAAAAAAGAGATTTACATATTGTTAAGATTAGTAAGCTACCTTCACTGTCAAGAGACTGAGCCAGAAAGCCCAGTCTAATTACCCTTTTTTGAGAAAGCCCATAGTCACTTTTTTTTAAGTTTGTTAGAATTGGGACTTGAGGGGTTCTGATTTAACACTTAATTGGTAAGTGCCCTAAATCTATCTGATTCTTAGCTCCCCTACCTTCTCCCTCGTATTTCCTTTCTGAATATACTTTGTGTGAAGCAGTCTATCCTAAAAGTTTCCCAGATTACAACTCCATGGAGCCCTCTGTTGCTGCATTCCCTCTAAAACATTTTCAGATTTGGTTTTTGACAAGAATATTCTTTAGGGGGCTGGGAAGGTGGTTCAGTGGTAGAGCGCATGCCTTGCATGCCAGAGGCCCTGGGTTCAATTCCTCAGCACCACATAAGCAAAAAGAAAAAAGCTGGAAGTGGCGCTGTGGCTCAAGTGGTAGAGCGCTAGCCTTGAGCTGAAGAGCTGAGGGACAGGCCCAGGACCAGAGTTCAGGCCCCATGACCGGACCCAAAAAAACAAAAAAACAAAGAATATTCTTTAGTATCCTACATGTGATGACATAGTCTTATTTATGACATGCTAATTTAAAAATAGAAGTAAGATTTTTATGCTTCATGTACAGTGAATTTATAACTGATTCTCTTTATTAAAAGGAAATATGGCTTCATCATAGGCTGAATAACGCCCATGAAACTACTACGAAATGCCAGCAGAGCATCTGAAACAATGTAAGCCTGTGATGCAAATGTTCTGGATCCCTCACAGCCCTGGAGCCAAACGGTAGGCAGAGGAGAGGGGCACCTAGAACTTCCAGCTAGATTGTCTCTTTGCTAAGAACAGAAGGTAAGCAGTAGAAGATAATAACTCAGCAATATGTGACCAAACAAAACTATGTGAAGGATTGGCAAAATTTATTTATTTATTTACTTATAAACTCCTGCAAATCCTCTATCCCAGACAAGTTCTACTTGTTTCCATCTGGCCTCAATGTCAGGGTCCATCAATTCTGTTCTATACGACTGGGACATACATACACACCATCCTAGATTGCTTTCCTGCTTGCTCAACAGGCCATACCTTTTTGGAGAAATGAAAGGAATGCAGAGAAGCAACACGGCAAAGACCTCTGCATAGAGGAAGGTGGCAACCGCAGTCCACTGCAGACTCATTCTGTCACCAGCAGGTTTCCAACAGGGAGATATGAGCTTGTTTCCTGGCAAGGAACAGAAGAAATAGGAGCCATGAGAGCTGGGCAGCCACTGTGAACCCTGGATCCCCCCAGCTTGGGAGCCTTTAAAATGCTGGTAGGACTATTGGCCAATGGTGCTGAAGGCTAACAAACTTGTTTTACTGAACCAGTTACTTGATAACCCCCAGCACGTATGTGAACAAGTCCATACATCTTTGTTGAAGACTGCTTTCACTAGGGGAGTCCATTAGACTCCTTCAGATGTGTATAAGAAAGTGTTTTTTTGTGTCTGTGTGTGTGTGTGAGTACGCACCAGTTCCTGAGCTTGAACTCGGGGTTTGGGTACTGTCCCTAAGTGTTGAGTCTCACACTTTCTTGCCTGGGCTGGCTTTAAACTGTGGTCCTCAGATCTCAGCCCATGGGAGTGCAGTTCGAAGGTGTTTTTCTTAACAGAATATTATATAAACAGAGATTAGTTTTTAGCTTCCTTTCGACTCTCTTCCTGGGCAAGCAGTGCTCTGGGATAGAGTGTCAATGCCTGCCTCTGCCAAGCCCGCAGGGTTTCGGTGAAGGGCCGCCGCCCTCTCCCCACGCTCCTCTGCGCTGCACACTCTCTCGGCTCCTCACATCACACCAGGCCAGGCCAGGCCAGGCTGCGCCGCGCCGCGCCGCGCCCCGCCCCCTCAGCGACCAGTAGGCCCAGCCCAAGCACTGAGAAGTCACCCCGCAGCTCCCGTCTCCCGTTTTCTGCGCTAAAAAAGGTCTTCAATCGCTCCTGTGCCGCCCCCGGGGCTGGAGGTTATGCAATTCCTCAGAAAAGGCCCACGGGAGTGACCCTAGCGGGTAGGAGTTGGGGGACCAAGAGCAAAAGCAGGTCTCGACCGAGTCCCGCAAGGCCTCCTCCAAAGAAAGTTCTAGAACAAGCAAGTCTGCTCAGAAGCCATGGTGAACCCCAACGCCACCGAGCCCGAAAGACGCCCACGAGGAACCAAGAGGTATGAGCCTCCGGCGGCCGCAGCCGAGCACACCGTCCCCAAATCTTACACCCCACCGCTCCAGCCAAAAGAGAGCCGGCCCCGGCGCTCAGAGGGCCCGGCTTCCCCCGCCGCCGCCTCAGTTTCCCTCACGTCGGAAAGCTTGGCTCCAAACGCCACCGCCCCAATTTCCCTCAGGTCGACCGAGCCCCGACATTCCCCAGAACCTCTAGCCTGTCCGCGCTGCTTGGCTGCTTGCCTGCCTGCCTGCCTGCCTGCCTGCCTGCCTTCTCCGTCGAGGGGATGAGAGAGCCTCGACTGCCCAGAAGCCCAAACCCGCACAGAGCCCGCTCACCGACTTTCTCACAGCCGCTGCGCACGCCCGCTGCAACGACCAAATTCTCTCCCCTCAGCCCTAGTCCCGCCCCTTACCCAACGGCCGGAAACCGGAAGCGCCTGCCGCGCTGCATCGCGCAGTGCCCCGCCCACAAGTCCTCCCTAAACCCCAGAGGCTACGCCCTCGGCAACTTCCCGCCCCGCCCCCTACCTGAGGGCCTGTTGCTAGAGCCTTGAGAGGAAGCTACGCCTCGTGGCAAGTGAGGACTCCCGCTCCTCCCCACACGCTGGGGCGGGGCGAGGTGAGGCGGAGCCTTGGCGGGAAAAGAGAGGACCGCTTCTCAAATGTGCGCGGTCATTCCTCGCTTCCACGGCCCGGGAGTGGGCGGAGCCTAGCCGTTAGGCGAGGATGGGGGTGGGGCTCCCTTTATCCAGACTCCACCTCCCGTTCCTCCTCCGCCTCCTCCCCTTCACTGGACTCGCCTCTGGGGAGGGGTGGGTGGGTGGAGATTCTGGACTGGGTGGAGATTCTGGCCTAAGACTGTCTTTTCAGCAAGGCAGCGGAGCAGAGTGACGCGCCCTGTGCCCCCGGGAGGGGCGTCACCAGGGAGGGAGGGCGGGGAGGAGCTGGAGGAGGAGAAGGTAAAGGGGAATACGACGCCCTCTCTGCCCAGACCTCTCGAGGCTCTGACCTCGGGGGTTAAAGGGCTGACTGTAGAGGGAAGACAAGTTTCTCCACCTGGGTTGCCTTGAAGAGCCCACGACCCTGGGGAACCCTGGGCCCACCGTGCCGGGAGCCCTAGCACCACCCGGGGCGCCTAAAGCGACAGTCACAGGGACCACTGCAAGATTTCCGGTTGCCTAGACAACGAGCCAGCGGTCAGAGCAACAGCCCTGCCTTCCAGCATCTGCCTCAACTGCTGCCTCGGGCACCAAGTCCCAGCCCAAGCCTGCCAGCCAGCCCAGGTGCCATGCCGGTGCTCTCCACTCCACGGCCCTCGCGGGCAACCACGCTGAAGCGTACGGCCATGGTCCTGGCGCTCACAGCCTACGGCGTGCACAAAATCTACCCTTTGGTGCGGCAGTGCCTGGCGCTGGCCAGAGGCCCCCCGATGCCAGCTGGGGAACCCACGCAGGAGGCTTCCGGGACCACAGCAGCCAAGACTGGCATGAACAGGGTATTCCTGCGACGGCTCCTGGTGCTGCTACGATTGCTCTTTCCCCGAATCCTGTGCCGGGAGTCGGGACTTCTGGCGCTGCACTCTGCCGCCCTGGTGAGCCGAACTTTCTTGTCAGTATACGTGGCCCGTCTAGATGGTCGGCTGGCACGCTGCATCGTGCGCAAGGACCCTCGAGCCTTCAGCTGGCAGCTGTTGCAGTGGCTTCTCATAGCCCTGCCTGCCACCTTCATCAACAGCGCCATTCGCTACCTGGAGGGCCAGCTGGCCTTGGCCTTCCGAAGCCGTCTGGTGGACCATGCCTATAACCTCTACTTCACCCAGCAGACATACTACCGTGTGAGCAACATGGATGGGCGGCTGCGCAACCCTGACCAGTCCCTAACTGAGGATGTGGTGGCATTCGCTGCCTCGGTGGCTCACCTCTACTCCAACCTGACCAAACCACTCCTGGATGTGGCTGTGACCTCTTACACCCTGGTTAGAGCGGCGCGCTCCCGCGGAGCTGGCACAGCCTGGCCCTCGGCCATTGCTGGCCTCGTGGTGTTCCTAACGGCCAATGTGCTTCGAGCCTTCTCACCTAAGTTTGGGGAGCTGGTGGCAGAGGAAGCACGACGGAAGGGGGAGCTGCGCTACATGCATTCCCGTGTGGTGGCCAACTCGGAGGAAATCGCCTTCTATGGGGGCCATGAGGTGGGGCTAATTGGGGTGCTGGGAACAAGGCAGAGTGGGTGGGTGACTGGAAAGCCCAGGACTGCCAGCTTTGAACAATCGGGCAATGCATAGGCTGTGAAAGATGGGGGGAAGATAGGAGGGCCTGGGTTGGCTGAGGTTTTAGGTGACACTTTTGTTTGAGCCTCTATGGCTCCAGCTCACTCCACTCCTGCATCCCAACCAAGAGGAGACGCTAGCCATCTGGGAGCAGGGATGGCGGGACACAGCCTGCCGCCCAGCCTCTGCTGCGTCGCTGTGTCCTTTGAAGGCCAGCGTCCAGCAGAACTGGCTGGCCGGGCAGGCGAGCATTATGGGCATGACTCAGCCCAAGCGGAGGTTAATGAGCAGCATCCAGCATAGTGGCTGTAGCTGTGGCAGTTCTCAAGGCTGAAGAGTCCTGGGCCTGCCGGGCTGGTGACCACTTTGACTAGCCACGGGCTTAGCTGCCTGCCAGCTGCCCTGGTTCAGAAATGTCTGGCCCCAGACGCTGCGGAGGCGGGACACACTTCCTGCCCACCCAGCAGCTTCCCAGTCCCCAGCATGGCTGCCTGTCTCTTCAGTCCCAGGCCTAGGACTCCGCTCTGTCTCCTTCCAGGGGTGGGCCTGGGACTGAGGAACTGGCTAGGGAAGGTTACTCCAGGCCAGTTCTCCCTTTATCTTGCTGCTGCCCCTCCCCTTCCTTGCGCCTGGGGTTGCAGCTGCTTCAAGCCCTGCTCTATGCAACTCAGGTTTCAGTTCCCCTATGGTGGGGGGAGGGGCAGAATGACACCCATCTCCTGACCGCCTGTGTACGTTCCCTGGGTCAGGCAGCCTCTTGCCTTGACCTTGTCTCTTTGGCTGTACATCATGTAGAGAAACAGACTTGTTTCTGATTTTTAAAGAGGGTTTGTCTCCTGACATGGCAGTGTCCACCTGTAATCCCAGACTCAAAACAGAGGGTGGGGGAGGGGTGCAGGGGGAGTTCCCATTATTTTTCAGAGAGGAGCATGCTGGCTTATGCTGTTTCTGATTGAGTGAAAAAGTGCTTGGCCTTGAGGTGTAATCCTCCCTCCTGTTCTCTTTTTCCCCATATGCCAGGCCACAGGGCCTTGGCAAACAGCTGTGGCCTTGGGTGAGGAACCTGGCATATTACCAGCAGCTGCATAATCAGCCTTGGCCAGCTCCTAGTAGTACAAGCCTAGATTACCAGGGTACTCGATGAGGTGTGCACAGTTCAGGAAACATAGGTTGGGCCTGAGTAAAGCTCAGCTATGTGAGCAGCTGAGTGTTGGGGACAGCAGAGCACTGGTGTTTTGAAGGACTTCCTCTGGGCTTTCATCAGGAAATAGTATGGTTGGTTGCAGAGGACAGTTCAGTTGCAGAGGTGCCCTATGGGCATCCTTGACCTGTCTCTATAAGCCTTGGTTGGAAAGCTATATGAGATGATGTGAAGCCCCCTCCCCCCACAGGTGAGTTGATTGACCATGCTGTGCAGGCCTGGGGCCCACTCCAATCCCACTAGTTGAGATGTCACTGTGGACATAGGCCTAGGCTCAGATCAATAGGTTAGAGCAGAAAGGCAGAAGTGACTAGCTAGAGGGCAAACAGCAGAGTATTCTGTTCATACTAGGATTTCAAACAAGGCCTCTTATTTTAATACACATATGCATTGTATACACACACATGCACACAATCTATTGCTTGAGAACAAAGTAAGCCTTTCTTCATAAGTCAAAGCATTGGACTAGAGGTGTGGCTGAAATAGTAGAGCACTAGTTGTGAATAGAAAAAGCCGAATGAGAAAGAGGGACCTTGAGCTCAATCCCCAGTACTGTCACAAAAAAATAAGTTCAAGCATCATTTTTAAGAAGCTGAACTGAGCGTCATCGGTGGCTCATACCTGTAATCCTAGCTACTCAGGAGGCTGAGATCTGAGGATCACAGTTCAAAGCCAGCTGGAGCAGAAGAGTCCATGAGACACTTACCTCCAATAAACTACTCAGAAAAAGCTGGAAGTGGTGCTGTGGCTCAAGTGGTAGAGCACGAGCCTTGAGCACAAAGGTGCTCTAGGACAGTGCTCATGCCGAGTTCAAGCCCTGGGACCAGACAAAGAAAAGAAAAAAGAATCTAGTTCCCTTAACTTCCCTGCCAGTGTGCTCCACATTTTTGCACTACTTGGTACCTCCTTCTTGGGCAGATCAATTTGTCTCTCTGGATATTAGTGTTTTACAATAAATATGAAAATATACATGCAGGGCTGGGAAGGTGCCTCAGTGGTAGAGTGCTTGCCTTGCATGCCTGAGGCCCTGGGTTCAATTCCTCAGCACCAAAAAAGCAAAAAGAAAAAAAGCCGGAAGTGGCGCTGTGGCTCAAGTGGTAGAGCGCTAGCCTTAATTGTTCAGGCCCCACGACCGCCCCCCCCCAAAAAAAGAAAATATACATGCAGTAAGACCTGTGAGAATCTAATGGAGCTCATGCCTGTGATTCTGATTATACAGGAGGCTGAAATTCCGAGGATCATAGTTCAAAACCAGGATGGTAAGCAAAGTCCAGGAGACATTTCCAAAAGAATCAGCACAAAGTAGGGCTGGATTCATGGCTCAAATGGTAAAGCACCAGTAGAGCAAGCCAAGAGACCATGGGACCCTGAATTTAAACTCCAGTACTATGAAAGGAAGGAAGGAAGGGAAGGAAAGGAAAGGAAAGGAAGGGAAGGGAAAGGAAGGGAAGAAGGAAGGAAGGAGGGAAGGAAAAAAAGGAAGGAAGGAAAGTTGGAAGGAAGGAAAAGAAGGAAAACCAAATAGAGAAGACATGAAAGCAGTTGGCAAATAGTACCAGACTGGCTGTCATCAGCTGGCATATATGTAAGACTAGGGCATATGTATCTCGACTGAGCCAGAAAATCCGAGACCCTGTAGCTACCTTTCTCTGAGCATTTCCCAACATTTCCAGCATCCACTACCTGTGTGCTGCTGTCGCCCCTTCCCTGTAGAAGCAGGGAGTGTAGATGGAAGTAGGAGAGGCCTAGCCACTTCTAGGAAGGAGGACGAGGCAAGCCGAGGTATAGGCCAGCTTGGGAGTCTACCTTCCTGATTTTGGTAGGGAAATGCAATGCGAGTTTCTTTCTTTTTTTTTTTTTTGGGTCCGGTCATGGGGCCTGAACTCTGGGCCTGGGCGCTGTCCCTTAGCTCTTCAGCTCAAGGCTAGTGCTCTACCACTTGAGCCACAGTGCCACTTCCGGCTTTTTTTTTTCTGCTCATGTGGTGCTGAGGAATCGAACCCAGGGCCTCAGGCATGCAAGGCAAGCGCTCTACCACTGAGCCAACTTCCCAGCCCCGCAATGCAAGTTTCTTACAGAGAAGTACCCCAAGAAAGTAGCAGAAAGGGAGGCCTCAGTAGGTGAGACTGAGTTTTTCCAAATGAGGAGCATTGTGGTTTGCTCCACTGGGCTAGTCTTTGCTTAATTCAGGATAGAAAACAAGAGCTGGGGCTGGGAAGGTAGCAAAGTGGTAGAGTGCTTATCTTGCATGCATGAGGCCCTGGGTTCAATTCCTCAGCACCACATAAACAGAAAGGGCCAGAAGTGGCGCTGTAACTCAAGTGGCAATGTTAGCCTTGAGCTGAAGAGCTGAAAGACAGTACCTAGGTCCGGAATTCAGGCCCCACGACCTACCAAAAAGAAAAAGAAAGAAAAAGAAAACAAGAGCTGATCACTTCCAGGGGGAGGAGGTGCCTGGTGAGAAGGACATGAGAGGTTGTTGAGAGGGAGCCCAAAGAATGGACTCAGTGAAGGACAGAAAAGTTAACTGTCACAGGCCTGCAACCAGAAAATTCCCTGGATACAGGGAAGAGAGAGATGGCTATTCCAACTAGAGAGATAGTTGGAAAAATGAAGAGCTATTCTGGGGTGTCCTGTAGTACCATTACCACCATTACTTGTCTGAGACTCAGCCCCACCCAATTGTAATCCCCCAGCTCTTAGCTTTGTCATGGCCATCAAATAGTATTACTGTGAGTGAGCAGTACTTGGGGACGCTTACTGTCACCCCCACAGGGGTTGCCACAAGGCCTCTCAATGTGTGCTGTCCTGGCAGGTGGAACTGGCACTGCTCCAGCACTCCTATCAAGACCTGGCTTCTCAGATCAACCTCATCCTGCTGGAACGTCTGTGGTATGTCATGCTGGAGCAATTCCTCATGAAATATGTGTGGAGTGCCTCAGGCCTGCTCATGGTGGCCGTCCCCATCATCACCGCCACTGGCTACTCAGAGTCAGGTGAGACACAAGACTCTGGGGGCTAGGGCCAGGCTTGTGGAGTTCAGTTGGCTCACCTGTCCCTTTTACCTGGGATGTTGAGGCCCTAGTAGCATCCTAGATTGCCAGAGGTCAGGCTCTCCTCTTAGATAGATCCTTATTGGTTTTGACCCTGCATACATCTCATACTCCCTCGTACCATCAGCTGAGCCTAGGACCACAACTCAGAAATACCGCATGCCTCTTTTATTTTTCCCCCTGGGGCATGAGGCTTCAACTCAGGGCCTGGGCACTTTCCCTGAGACTCTTCGTGCTCAAGGTTGGCACTCTACCACTTGAGCCACAGCACCACTTCCAGCTTTTTCTGAGTAGTTTATTGGAGATAAGAGTCGCACAAACTTTTCTGCTCAGGCTGGCTTTGAATCGTAATCTTCAGATCTCAGCCTCCTAAGTAGCTAGGATTACAGGCTTGAGCCACTGGTGCCTGGCTACCACATGCCTCTTTAGCACACCTATGCACCCTTGCCCACCTGTCCCTATCCTCAGTCCAACTTCAAGTTATAGAGAATACTTTGAGTGAGCCCCTTCGTTACCCCAGCTGTGGTTTTACCACCCCTAAAACAGTACTTATGGATTATAGATGGTAGAAACTTCTGTCAAAAGGCCTTTGGAGGGATGGTGCTGGGAAACCTGTTCTACCAGTTCTTTTGTTTTGTTTTTGGTAATGGTCAGGTTGTATGTGTATGCACACACATGTGAGCATGTACACCAGCACTGGGACTTGAACTCAGGGCCTGGGTACCGTCCCTTTCCTTTTTTGTTCAAGGCTGGTGCTCTACCACTTCAGCCACAGCTCTACTTCCAGTTTTTCCGTGGTCACTTGGAGATGAGTCTCTTGGACTTTACTGCCAGGGCTGGCCTCAAACTGTGATCCTCAGAACTCAGCCTCCGAGAGGCTAGGCTTACAGGTGTGAGCCAACAGCACCCAGCTTCTGATTGTCTTGATTCCATTTGTTCTTCTACTGGTTTACAGATTATTCATTCTATTTTCAGGCATTCAGTTGTTACCCTTGAGAAGGTTAACATGCTGCTCTAGGTTCTTAAAAACAGTCATGGGTTAATCAATAGCTCCCGTCCTCTTAGACCTTAGAAACTTTTTTTTTTGGTCAGTCATGGGGCTTGAACTCTGGGCCTGGGTGCCGTCCCTTAGCTTTTCAGCTCCAGGCTAGCACTCTACCACTTGAGCCACAGTGTCACTTCCAGCTTTGTTTTCTTATGTAGTGCTAAGGAATCAAACCCAGGGCCTCATACATGCAAGGCAAGCACTCTACCACTGAGCCACCTTCCCAGCCCTAGAAACATTTTACCTTAGAGAAACAAACCCCTCTTACCTGTCTCTATAGCCATTATGAAGTTTGGGTTCATGTGGTTTTTATTCTTTTTTTGTGGGGGGGTGGGGTCTGGTCATGGGGCGTGAACTCTGGGCCTGGGCGCTGTCCCTCAGCTCTTCAGCTCAAGGCTAGTGCTCTACCACTTGAGCCACAGCGCCACTTCTGGCTTTTTTCTTTTTGCTTATGTGGTGCTGAGGAATCGAACCCAGGGCCTCACGCATGCAAGGCAAGCACTCTACCACTGAGCCACCTTCCCAGCCCCTGGTTTTTATTCTCGACTATTGCTTTTTCCAGTGAATGCATGTATAAATGCAACCTCATCTATACTGATTTCTCTCCTTGACACTCCATTCTTTTTTAAAAAATTATTTTGTATTGACATTCCAAAATGCATTCATTCTTTTTGTGTTCCGTTCTTCCAGATAGACATCTTTTTTAAAGTTTTGAAAGGTGTGTTTGCTGGACCTGGGAATTGAATTCAGGGCCTGGATGCTGTCTGTGAGCTTCTTTTGCTCAAGGCTAGGGCTCTACTACCTGAGCCACAGCTTCCACTTTCAGCTTTTCAATGTTTATAGGAGATAAAAGTCTCATGGATTTTCTTGTCAGGGATTGGCTTGGAACTATAATCCTCCAATCTGAGACTCATGAGTAGCTAGAATTACAGGCATGAGGCACTCGCACCAGTGCCAGGCTTGAAGGTTGTTGTTTTGTTTAACATAGGTTCTCATCATGTAGCCCAGGCTGCAGTGCACCTTGGTACTTTCTGTCCTCACCATCCTGAATGCTGGACTCCCGGCATTACTCATGCCCAACTAAAAGTTCTTTTTTTTTTTTTTACGATTGTGAAAATACCATACAGAGGGGTTACAATTACATGGGCATAAAAGTTCTTACAGCAAAGATTTCATCAGGGAATATTCCCAATTATTTTGATGTCCTTATTTCTTCCTCATTCCAGAGCTAAAGTTAGGTTGGATATAGGAATCTAGAGGAACAGTTCATTTCTCCCAGACCTTTGACAGTATTCAATTTTTCTTTTCTTTTACACAAGCGCCCGTGCGTGCATGCCTCTGTGTGTGTGTGTGTGTGTGTGTGTGTGTGTGTGTGTGTGTGTGTGTGTACTGATACTGGGGTTTGAACTGAGAGGACCTTGTGTTCTCAGTTGGCTTTTTTTTTTTTTTTGGTCGATCATAGGCCTTGAACTCGGCCTGGGCGCTGTCCCTCAGCTCTTCAGCTTAAGGCTAGCGCTCTACTACTTGAGCCACAGTGCCACTTCTGGCTTTTGCTGTTTATGTGGTGCTGAGGAATTGAACTCAGGGTCTCATGAATACGAGGCAAGCACTCTTCCACTGAGCCACCTTCCCAGCCCTCACTTGGCTTTTTTTGCTGAAGGCTAGCACTCTACTAATGAGCCACACCTCTACTTCCAATATTTCATTTTTTTTGTAGTTGTTGAAAAATCTGTTATCAGTCAGGAGTGGGAAACTTTTATTCTGTCAAGGCCCCTTTGGCTGTTTATAACATCATTTACAGACAATATTGTCAATGCAGGCAGCCAATGAAGAGCATAGGAGAAGCATGCCTGTCTGGTCCATTATATACCAAATGATTTTAAGAGCCAGATGTTCCTCACCCTTTACATTAATTACTAGCAGTAAGTCTGCATTTTCTCTCTAGGTATCTTTATAATGTTTTGTCTTTCTCTGGCATACTATATTTTACTGTGTGTTTAGGTGTGGGTTTCTGTTTGTCCTGCTTGTAGATCCTTCAGATTTTTTTTCAATTTTCTTTCTGTTCACTAATTTTCTAGTTCATGTGTTTTCTCTTCGGCCATGTCTAGTATGATTGTTTTTAACATATCATGCTCTCATTTGGCTTTTTTGCTCAAAGCTAATTTTCTGTCACTTGAGCCACATCTGTACTTTTTGTCCAGTCCTTTTTGGCACTGGCTATTCTATTTCTTTTTTTGGATATACTAGGGTTTGAACTTGGGGCCTTTGCACTTACTTAGCTTGCTTTTTCTTTTTCTTTTCTTCTTTTCTGGTCTTAGGGCTTGAACTCAGGATCTGGGCACTATCCCTGAGCTTCTTGGTGCTCAAGTCTAGCGCTCTACCACTTGAGCCACAGCTCCACTTCAGGATTTTTCTGAGTAGTTTATTGAAGATAAGAGTCTCACAGATTTTTCTGCCCTTGCAGGTTTCAAACCACAATAGCGAGGATTATAGGCATGAGCCTCTGACACCTGGCTTCAGCTTGCATTTTCTACTAGCATTTTACCACTTTTTTTTGTCGGTCATGGGGCTTGAACTCAAGGCCTGGGTACTGTCTCTGAGCTCTTTTTGCTCAAGGCTATCTGTCTACTACTTCGAGCCCCAGCTCCACTTCCAGTTTTCCAGTGGTTCATTGAAGATAAGAGTCTCACTGACTTTCCTGCCTGAGCTGGCTTTAAACCACAATCCTCAGATCTCAGACTCCTGAGTAGCTAGGATTACAGGCATGAGCCTCCAGTGTCTACCTCAAATTGTTTTTATAAGTGTCTCATTTGCTCATGTGTGTGTGTGCCTGTGAGTGTGCTCATATGTGTGCACGCGTGCTGGCACTTGAACTTCAAGCTTCACTTCACTCATAGCTGGCACTACACCACGTGAGCTACGCCTCCACTTCTAGCTTTTTGCTGGTAATTTAGAAATATGAATCTCCAGGATTTTTTGGGGGGGTCCAGTCATGGGGCCTGAACTCTGGGCCTGGGGGTTGTCCCTCGGCTCTTCAGCTCAAGGCTAGCACTCTACCACTTGAGCCACAGTGCCACTTCCGGCTTTTTTCTTTTTTCTTATGTGGTGCTGAGGAATCGAACCCAGGGCCTCGAGCATGCAAGGCAAGCGCTCTACCACTGAGCCACCTTCCCAGCCCAATCTCCAGGATTTGTCTACCTAGGCTTGCAGCAAACCTCAATTCTCATATCTCAACCTCTTGATTAGCTAGGATTGTAAGTGAGTCACCAGCACCCAGCCTTCCCAGCACTTCTTTTGTGCTTATGGTAATAATCGTACTTATTGTCTATCCAACAATTTATCTCAAGTTCTTAGGACTTGAATCTACTTTTGCCTTCTGCCTGTCGGTCGTCCTCACTCATGGTAGATCATTTCCTCGTTCCACCTTCACCCTCCATGAGGGTGTAAATTACTTGGTATACATCTGCTTTTGTTTCAGCCAAGCACTTGAGGGGTAATTAACCAGTTGGAGGCCATATTCCTGTTAATCTTTCAGTTTCAGCAGGATGGGGGTGTTACTGGCCTTGGAGGTAGTATTCATTTGAACCCCAAATACATAATTACAAATTCTTACAAGACATGTTTTGTAAGAAAGCCAGTGAGGTTTTCTGTCTTCTCCCTGTCTGTCTCTTGGAAGTTCAAAGAGTTGCTTTGGCTTCTTGCTTATTTTTTTCCAGCAATATTCCTTGCTTCCCTTCAAGTGTCACTGTGTTTTGAAAGGTGTTATAGTTTATCCAGTTCAGCAGCAAGAGAGTTGTCAGTTATAGGTATGAATATCGTGCCTGACTTATTTGAAAAACAGAAACTTCTCTGATTCTCTTCTTATTTGGGCTTCCATTTTGGGGCTACCAACCTCAGC